CCTGCTGCCCCTCACCAGCTCCCGGCCCGGTTGGCACCTACCCACCAGGATGCTGGCAGTCCTGCCCTCCTCTCCCTCCTACCCCCCTGGCTCCCAGCGCCCCATGCCAACTGTGGGCCTGGGGTGGGGGAGGGTCACCCCTGTGCTTTGGTGCCAGCTAGGCGGGCCCAGGCCCCCAGGTCCTACAGATAACACCCAAGACCCTGTTCTTAAGTCTTCTCCTGAAGAGGCAGCGCATGGGTCAGGGCCTACACGAAAAGAGCCTCGGGTGCTATGGACAGCTTGATGAGCAGTTATTGAAGGCACCATTCCCCAAGGTGGGGGCCAGTGTCCCTCCCTGCCACCAGGTGCCAGCCTCCCGGCATTCCCCCTGCCCAAGCATTTGCTTGGGCACCAAAGTCCCTGCAATTCCTGAGAGCCCTAATGCCCGCAGCCTGCAAGGGAGTGGGGTGGGGCTGCTCTCTGCCCTTTGATCCCCATAAAGGGAGGGAACCGGCCTAGAGGGCAGGGGGCAGGGAGGGAGTTAATGGGGCCCCTCCATTTCACCCCTGCCAGGGGCAGCAGGGCAGGGTGTGGGCATCTCTTGGGTGGGGCCCTAAGGTGAGAATGGGTAGCAGGTCTCAGCTGGGGAGATGGATGTCAGTCATGGGTACGTGGTGTCACGTGGGAACAAGATGGTGAGGACAAGGTGGCGGGATGCAGAGGGTACCCATGTTCCAATTCATCCTCATCTACTTTTACATCCAGAAACATTTCTAGACTTAACCAAACTGAGAGCTCAAGGAGGACTACAACTCCCAGTGTGCACCACAATTGCTTTGCATGTACCTTGGGAGTTGTAGTTCCCTTGAGAAGCCCTGTACTCTCCTCCCCAGAGCCTTGATGATGGGGTGGGGAGGGTAGAGCAGACTCGGTCATGAATCTCCAAGCTGAGATTGTTTAGAAGAGGTGAAAGGCAGGAGGTCTATGGTGGGGGGAGAGGACCCCTGCTCCCAGGCAAAGGGGGAGGAAAAGGAGGAAGGAAGGAGGAGAGGATGTCTGTTGAAAGGGGCATATGGGTGGGGAGGAGTTGGGGGGGTGGGTGGAAACAGGAAGGAAACTGAAGCCAGAGACACGAGGTCGAAAGCAAGGGCCTGGTGGAGCCCCATTCCGAGGTCTGGCAGGGACTGGGAAGGCATTTCCCCCTGCCATTCTGGTGGCCTGGGGAGGCATAAGAGGAATGAGTGATGTCAAGAAATACTAAATTGGTGTGTTTGTGGGGGTCACTGGCTCCGTTTACCTGCCACCAGCCCTGTTTTGTCTGGGGCGCCCTCAACCCTTGGATCTGGCACAGGTATTTGCTGGCTGGCAAGCTCTGAAGGCTGACTTGGTCTTGGGATGCTAGCAGACAGAGGAAGGGATTGGGGGAGGTCAGGGCCAGGCCTGATGAGCAGTGTGGTGGAGGGAGATATGTATGGGGTTAGGCACTGGTATGAGGTCAAGGAATTGTGCTGGCAAATGAGGATGCCATCCTCTAGGACTGAGGCCATAGCAACTGGGAGCTCTCAGTGAAGAGAGAGCTAAGATGCCAAGGAAGGCCACTAGCCTCCCACCCACCCCAGGCTGTGGGACCGAATGAAGAGGGCAGCCCTTTCTGGTCTCCCTGTGGAATTTGCTAAAGGTAGCTTTCTCCTTGTGCCAGGCAGACTGTGAACATTAAAGGTGGCAACTCAGGGGGCCAGATGGCAGCTGAGTGCCTTTCCTTAGTGGGGGTGGAGGTTAGAAGTGGGCAGAGGTTCTGCTTCCAGGCCACTTTCCCTGGGCTCCCCAAGGCTCTGGGACAGATGCTTACAGGCCCTAGCCAAGACTCTTGCCAAGAGCTGGGTCTGGCTGGGTGGCTGGGTGGGGGTCATTCTTGCCTTTCCAAAGCCCTTGATGGTGGATGACAGTAGCTCTAACCCCTTCCCCTCAGTCCCCCAGGCCCGCTTTGGCGCCTGGCCGCCTGTGTGTTGGCAGGACTGGGGGGTGGGGGGTGGGGGCGGCGAGCAACTTCAAACTGTCCGGGCAAAACGTCAAGTTTACTCACGAGTTTACTCAGGAGAAGGAGGGGGAAGAGGCCAGGGCAGGCACACCCCATGCCAGGGTCCTATCCGTCTGCCTGTCCCCACCTTCCTCCCCCACCCTCCTCTTCAGCCCTAGGCCAAAACAGGCATAGGCCCCAAGGCCTGGTGGCAGGGCAGTCATAACTCTCAGAAGGTCAGGGAACCAAGCAGACTAGAGGGAGGAAGCCCTGAAGCAGGCCCAGAGGCTTCTATTAGAGGGCAGTGCCCTGCCTGGAGCCCATTCACTATCCATCTTAGGACCTTGGCCTTGGGCCAGAACTGGGTCTCTCAGTCACCAAGAAGGGGACAGTACCAGGCCAGGCCTCCTCCATCTAAGCAGTCCCTTGGGCAGTGACTCCTGACCCCAAATGCCCAGTACTAGGCTGTGCCTCAGGCAGCATGATGCCATCTGGGCAGCCATAGGATCAGGGGCTGGTTCTCTCAGCCTTGGCTTGGAATGGGGGGGCCAGCACCCTATCTGACCTACTTCCCTTTCCTCCCCACCTGCTTTCACTCTCCAGTTCTCCCCCAGCCTTCACTGTCCCCACCCCAGAGGCGCTCCGCCCCCCATGCCCGCTGGGCCCCCTCCCCCACCCTTCCCCAGGGTGCCAAGTGCAAACACACAAAGGGCCCGATGGTGCATTGTTAGCCCAGCCCCCGCTGCCCGCCGCACCCTCCCAGGGCGGGCAGTAGGCCAAGGAGGAGCTGGGGGCCCTGGGTGCCAGGGGGCACCATGGGGAAAGGGGAAGAGGTCAGCACCTGTCTCCCAGTCACTGGGGTCCATTTCACCAGAGCTGAGCAGTGATGAGAGTGCCCCATTAGAGCAGGCCTCTCTCCTTGACACCTGAGCCTAGTGGGCATTGCCTTCTTTCCTCCCCAGAGCCCCTTTTGGTGGTATTAACCCCCTCCTGACCCCTGTGCTAAGGTTGGGGGTGTGGTACCCAAGGGAGGGGACAGTGTCTGGGGGTGCCAGCAGGCTGCATCGTGCCCACAGCAACCATGTAACAGAGGCACGCTGGGGGAGCCGGGGTCCCGGGGGCCAAGGACAGGAGGCACTGACAGAGATTTCTTCTTGTTTCATCAGCTGCTCCAGGGGGAGCCCCCTGCTCTTCTCCCCAATCACCACTAACAAGGAACACTAACTGCCACCCAAACTCAGTCACAAATATATCCCTTTCCAGCCCAGCACAACACTCCATATGCCCACTCTCCCTTCTCAACCTGATGTCCACTCCATGCCAGCTCTCCCAGCAGTGCCAGGCAGGTACAGGGGTGACCAAACCAGTTGGTGTGTGTGGGGGAACAGGAGGTAACCCCATAATCCTCCAGGCCTCTCACCCCCCTACACACATACACCCTCAGGGAACAGAGAGTTCCCATCCTGGTTTAACCCCTCACTGCCCAATCTGGCTCCCTGTGCCCCTGATAAACTGTCTCCCTCCTCCAGGAATAAGTTGGGGGAAGGGGGAAAAGCTGCGCTGACTCATTCCCATTCTCAGCTGCAGCTAGGGGTCTCCAAGACATTCAGGTGGGGGTCAATTCAAGAACGCCCTCCACCTGGCCCGGAAGCCAGGACAGCCTGCTGGTCTCCCCCTCTCCCCAGCACCCACTTCCGGTGTCCCAAACTAGGTCAGCAGCGCTCGTTTCCTGTGGGTCAGCTAGCACCCGCGCCTCTGCCCCTCCCCTGCTCCGGACCCAGGCTCCCTGCCCACCCCCCCAGGGCGCCCCGAGGTCTCACCACGTCTCAGCCGCCCTTTGATACGTGGGGGTTGTGCCGGGCGGGGGGCAGGGGACCCGCCCTCTCTCCAAACACCAGCAGGGCCGGGGCGCCTGGGCAGGCACGTGTCCGGGCACAACCCGCTGCCCACGCCGCCCCCCCTACTCCCGGCTCCCCCCTCGCCCTGACCGGGACACGTCGCTCTCTTACTTGGGGTGGGGTGGGGAGGGGGAGAGAGAAAAGCTGGAAATTGAAAGCAGCGCCCCCCACCCCTTTGAATGGCAGCCCTCTACTAGTGGCACTCTGAGTAGGTTCTACAACAACACAGTAGCCGACCCCCACACTGCGTAGGGCAGGTGCGCCGGCGCGGGCGGGGG